AGTACTTAGAAAATGTATTGCAGCTATATGTATATGAGTAGACAATCATCACCGTGTTGTTAAAGCAACGACCTAGAAGAGGGTGGGTCTTCAATTCTAACTCATTTCATTTGAAAGTCTTCTCATTCAGTATAATAGAGTCTACTACACATTACATTAAATTTAATTTCATTCTTTTCTCTGGACATAATGTGGACGTTAGAAGAGCAGGATAAGGAATTACCTTTATATGACAGAGAGGTAGTGGTGGCTCAATATAAACACTCGGTGCTTCGTATCCTGTGATATACGAATCAAATAGCTAGTACTTCTGATTCTTTCAAGGACTATTGGTGGTAGCCCTAGACTATAGGTCAGGGTCGCGAACTCGTGGAAGGCGTTGTCGAGTCGTGGATTCCAGTCTCATGGTGGCAGCTCAGGTCTCGTCTTCGTCACATGGCTGCGATTGCGAGGTCCAATACCAATAATTTATGTGTTGCCTTACTGCAGTGGTCTTCAAACTTTTTCGACTCACGGAACCCTTAAAACCATAAGGTGTTTTCGTAGAACCCCCTTCCACGTACACTCACTTACAGAATCTAAAATCCGAAGTTAAACAAACGTATCTATCTATCTATCTATGAATCTATGATGCCCTATCTTCTCACGAACCACACGACGCAGAAACTCGCCGAAGGTACCAAAATTTCGGGAATGATCCGTTTTGACTATTTATATTCTGATATTCCAATAAGTTAAAAAGATATTAATTAATAACCTTAAAACGCATAATTAGAGCAATTTTTCACCGCCAGGGGCCAAATTAAAATTCTTTTTTTTTCGACGTTTTTAAAACGCGATCTAATTTTTTTCATGGGACTCAGAAAAAAAATAGTTACTGATTCTGAAAGATCATTTACTTCGCCACGAAACGGTATAACTTATTTTACAAAATAGTTATATTTTCTATTTTTTACGATTTTTTAAAATGATTCAAAATCGTTACGTTTTTATGAGTGTGATTTCTACATCGTTCTGCTTGCATTTTCTTTCGCGCTAATGAAAAAAAAATATTTCACACTAAGAAAGTTCATGCTTTTCTCTTTTAGAATCAATCATTTTAAGTAATTTAGTATATCTTAAAACACAAGTAATATAAAAAAAATTAAGTCAATCCCTACTTAGATCAACAAAGAAAATTTTTATTTTAGCTACTTTTTATTAAATAGTCACAATCAATATAAATATGTATATACACTGGTGTGCAAAAATTAAGGACGAGACGGTTTTTTCAATATAACTTTGTACAAAAGCTTTACAAATCAACACATTTAATACCGTAAGATCCCCAATACGTAAGAACATGTGTAATGTAAGCAACACTTACTAAAAGAGAAATCAGAGGGATAAAAAAGAAGCTTGGTTGAAAAAGTAGCATGGAGCACAATGCGACTGAAGGCCGAAACATCCCTGTGAAGGGTGTCCAGCAAGAAACATCCGGTCTTTAGTATGATCTCCCCTGACACTGCTAGGCAGGTTTCACAGCGTCTGCCCATGCTGAGAATGAGGGTGTCAATGAGTTGTTGAGGCATTGCTGCCCATTCGTCTTGCAGCGCCAATCAAAGCTCCCGAATCGTTACTGGTGGTAAGGTACGAGCTGCCAAGCGTCTGCCTAGAAATTCCCATACATGCTCGATGGGATTGAGATCCGGAGATCGTGTCGGCCAATACATACATTCAATATCCACACTCTCTAAGAGCTGTTCGGCAGCTACTGTGCGATGACATGGTGCATTGTCGTCCATGAAAAGGAACTGCAGACCCATAGCGCCTCTAAAAAGACGCACATATGGAAGAAGAATCTCGTTATAATAACGGGTCCCGTTGACTGAACCTGCGTCGAAGATGTGAAGGTCTGTACGACTACCAAGCATGATGCCTCCCCAAACGAGAACACCGCGAACTCCATACCTGACCCTTTCAATGATGTTCGAGGGATGATTGAGGCTTCCGCGCTCTCTCCAGATGAGTATGCGATGAGAATCGCTACTCAAACTGAATCTGCTCTCATCTGTAAAGAGTACTCGTCCCCATTCATTGTCTCTCCAATTCCGGTGTTCCCGGCACCGCAGAGAACGCCTTCTCCGATGGGCAGGCGTTAAAGGTACACACCGTACAGGGCGTCGTGCAAACAGACCACCACCGTGCAGTCTTCTGGTCACGGTAAAACGCGATATCGGTCGTGTGTCGTGTGTCTAGCGATTTCACTCGCTGTCTGCCGCCTGTTTCTTCTGGCCTGTAAGACAATGTACCGGTCATCTGCGGGTGGGGTTCCTCGTGGACGACCACTACTGAAACTCCGGATAGCTGTTCCTGTAGTTTGAAATTGTCTCCAAAGTCGTGAAACGATGCTGTGAGCAATTCCGAACTCTGCAGCCACACTTGTCACACTGCGGCCTTCCTCCAACTTCTCCCAATGATTCGACCTCGGGTAAAAGCATCCAGATGTCGTCTAACAGATTGATTATTCGCCATTTCTCGCTGAGGCAGCAACTCGGTGTGATTTTAACTGCTATACGGCGTGCAATCTCTTTGCCAGAAATACTGATCTTACACCGACAACATGCTTTATACTACTCAGACACTCCCGCATTACGTCTACCTGCATATCTGCGCATGTGCTACCGTACATCACCTTACTAAATCTCCTGATTGGTCTTTCTGTCCGCTCTACCTCTTCGTTCAGCTGATATGCTAATTTTTCGACTTCGTCCTTAATTTTTGCACTCCAGTGTATATACATATGACAGAATCCCAACATTAAGTGGTAATTAATTTTTATTAATTATCGTTAAAGTATCGTATTGTCATCCAAAACAATCATGTATATAAAATTTCAGTTCAACTGAAGGCTTTAAAACGGGAGAAAAAAATCTTTTAAAGTTTTGACCCAAGTCACTAAAAATGAAAATAACGGGGCTGTATCTGTAATTCTTTAAATAATTAGTTTCTGTCAATTAATTTTAATTAAGTATAATTAAATTATCGTGTTGTCACCCAAAACAATCATGTATAGAAAATTTCAGCTTAAATGAGCGCTTTAAAATGTGAGAAAAAAACCTTTTCAAGTTTTGACACAAGTCGCCAAAATGGTCGCTAAGTCACCAAAAATGATGCCGACGTGGCTGTATTTGTAATTCTTTAAATAAATAGCTTTAATCAATTAACTTTTATTAATTATAATTAAATTATTGTATTGTCATCCAAAATAATCCTGTATATAAAATTTCAGCTCAATTGAACGCTTTAAAATGTATTTTATTAACGATTGAAAACTCCACCAAGATAAATAAATAAATATAGAGAGAGTGTGTGTGAGCTAATAGTAGGAATTGAATAATATTTAAAGTAGATAAACATGTTATAGGTACTTTATGTTAAAGTAATTTAAAAAGTATTGTATTTGTTATTAGAAATTTTAATATTATTTTTAAATATAATTTACTCGTTAATAATATTAATTCGTGCTTCACGTGCAATCTCTAGGCTTACATTATGTTTAGTGACTAGGATATGCGTTTGTAATGTGTTTTTTTTTTACCCCAACTGTCGAAGTCTAGGGCTATTGAAATTATCTGTAGTCGCACTTCATATTCTGCGTTTAATTGGTTTTCATATTTGGTTCTTGTAACCACTTACGTGGAGAGAAACAGAAATATTTTTCACTTAAATATGTTGTTCTGAATGGCATTTTAATGTTTATAGTTGTGTGAGAAATCCTATGCATTGTGCATGAATTTGCAACCTAAAATTTAGGAGCTGCTGTTGCTTAAATTTAGATTTTAACGTCGAATTTCTTAATATGTCGGTAAGTTGTTTCTTCTACTCATTATAGGTGGGTTTTTTTCATAAATTAAAAAGATGCATTTTGCATTAGAAACCTCTCTTTTTAGTTTTATAAGGTATTTAACTAACGAGTATAAAATTATTTCGTGGAACCCGCGATAGTAAACAATAAGATATTCACAATCTAGTAAATAGTTCACATAAAGAAAACTCATTTTAATATTTTTTTATTATATTATAATAATAGTAATAAAAGTATTGCTAAATATAAAGTTACTATGCATAAGTAAAATTTTCGGTTCCTTAATGACTGGGATGAGCTTTAGATACTTGAGGTGAAACTTCTTTGAGAAAATGAGTCTATTTTTCATACACATTTATAATTTCCTTTTCGATTTTTTTTTTTTTTTTTTTTTTTTGCTACTCGTGGAACCCCTGGGTATATTTCGTAGAACCCCAGGGTTCCAAGGAAGACCACTGCCTTATAGTGTGAAGTTAATAAACCCTCACTCATTCAATGACCATTGAAAAAGAAAATGGAGATCGCTGCATGTTAGAATAAACTGAGCCTCAAAATCTTCACATAGTTATGTTCAAGAACAATAAGGACACCAGTTTATTATCCTCGTCATTTGCCATGATTCAGAACTTCCTTGACAGTTATCAATAGCGGTCTAGAGCAACATTATAGGTAAAATTAAAAGAAAATAAATAACTATTTATAAACCGTTGTTTCTGCTTAGCGCAGCATTAATCCAAGCGAATTGTATGAAATATATGTTTAGAAGTTTATTTCATAACATTAATTTTAGATTTAGCCCTTTTTCTACATTTCTTACTTCAACTTGACCCAGATAAGGCCTGCAGGACCATTATCTGAATTTTCATGGTTAATTTTAAGCTTTTGTATTGCATACACACATGTAATATACACTTGATTTAAATCTAAACAAGCAATATAAAAAAAAGTCAATTCCTACTTAGGTCAACAAAGAAAAATTTTATTTTAGCTACTTTTTTATTAAATAATTTCAATTAATATAAATATACGTATACTTATGAAAGAATCCCCTATTAAGTTACAAAATAGAAAGCGATTTCCCATATTCCTTTCTTTCATGGAGTTGGACTATTATTTTTGTGTTTGTTACTATATATTTATTCATAAATTAGGCCAGCCAAGGTAGGATTCAAACTTACGACCTTTGGATTAGAAGTCCAACGCGCTATCCATTGCGCTTCAGGGCCACAAAAAGCAATTTTCCGTTTTATATATGCTTTTGAACTATTATTTTTGTTTGTTACAATTTATTCATTAATTAAATAGAATTAATGAATTAATATTTGAAAAAACTGTCATCCACTACAAATTTTAAAAAATGTATTTGAATTTAAGGGGATGAGTAAAAAGTATTTTAGTAACGATTGAAAATTTGAACATTATATATATATAGGGAGAGTGTGAACTAATAGTAGGAATTGAAAAAATGTGTGTCTTCTAGTCTTTCATTTTGCTTACGTCTTAGCACACTGAAATATCTTAACCAAAAAATGCTATAATCAAAATTCTACCTATCTCTCTAAACTAGCAAATCTATTTCATGTTTCTTTCAAGAATTAAATAATACTTCTTAAAACCCGTTATTTACTAAATAAACAAAGAAAATAAGCAACAAATAGCATTAAGTATTAAAATAAAGAATTAAAATATAAAATGTGTGCTTTAAATTAAAAATGTGTGAAATATGTACTTAACAATAGGACTCGTTAAAACTATTTACACATATTGGCTTCCAAAATGAAATCAGTAAAAATTTCATTATTTACATTGAAACAATTGCAAAATTGTTTCAGTACGTTTTGTGGAATATAACATTATTTAGGAGCTCTGATTTCTGCCGTGAAATCGTGGCTCGAGCAGGAAATTAAGATGTCCGGCAGGGTGATCATTCAGCATTAAGATTATTGTCGCCTCTATACACGTATCAGCATTAACTAAGATATCTCTAGAGAACAATGTGAGTAATCCCTTTCATGCATTGTGCTTGGATAACTAAAGTTTGTTATATTGAGGCCACAGAGAAACATCAATTAATTCATTAGCAATAACAACATTTCCAGGCCAATAAGTTAGTAGCTTTCACGAAAATAAAAGAAATATTCATTCTGGAAACAATATCTCAGTCACGCGCATTTAACTCCTTCATGCGCTGAATAATACGCTGGAGGGAAATCATTACAAATATTTTAGATAAACCTCACAAAATTATAACTATTAAGCTAAAGCTGATACATATTAATAATATTAAACACTTTTTTTCAAATAAAGGGGATCTAAAGTTTTAAAAATGAGGTAGTACGTATTTTGTACCACCACGCTTCAAGCAGCATGATAGTTCAAGAAACATGATTTTTTTCTTCCCTAGACACTATGGAACTTTGCTGACACAACACATCTATTCTTTTATAGTTGGAAAATAAATGAATGCACTTCTTCATCTCATACTGTTATTCATCCTAAATATAAAACATTTTCAGTTTTTTCTAATCTAATGTTGTAGGCTTGCTTTTAGTTTAGTCCTAATTTATCTAATGTTTTAGTTTTAATTTTATATAAATATTATATTCTATATATTATTTTTTATCTAGTTTTTATTTAATCACCATATATAATAAATGTATTAGCTGTATTTATGTTTTCCTCAAAACGAGCTATAACTCATTCAGGACATTTGTATAATTTTGTGTGTATGCACTATTATTTAATAAATATTATTATTATTTTAAAAAAATGTAACTTAAATCAAATCTGTCTGGTACAATAAACATGCCCATTATCGCAAAAAGATAAGCAGAATGCATTTTGTATTTGTAAAGAAGAAGGCCTTCAAAGCGTGGTGGCACTTTTTTTTTTTTTTTTTTTTTTGACTCTTCTATTTTCATATTAGCAATGCATATGTGAGGTACTAATAATTGTAATTTTGACTTATTTAGTTTCGTAATATATATACTTACCTGATTTGTATCAAATATCACAAGAATCACTTTCATTTACACTTAAACATACACAATACAGTCACTTCTAAAAAAATACCAACTTAACAGTATGACGAATCTGTACGGAACCTTTCCACTAATCTTCTTAGGCGTCTTTTAGGGGAATATAAATTCGCGTTCATTTCCAATCAACTCCAAAAGGATGAACGGGATATTCAAATTAGATAAGGTATTTAAGTCGAGCGTTGTGAGATAGCAAGAAGATGATGGAAGGCTATTGAGCCAGCAACTTTAAACGCATTTTTAGAAGATTCAAGGAGATTAGATTCGTGAAGACATCGTGCTGCTAGACGTACCAGAAAGCTGATATAAGCCAGCGGTAAATATAATTTACGTACGCTTAAAATAAGCGTCAGTTTAAGCGACTTAGTTAAAGTTAAAGAAAGTTAAGAATTCGAGTACGTGTATTTTTCGGATCTCCTATTTCGGTAGACCTTACTTGATCTTGAGCTTAATTATTAATTAATTGCATTATTAGTGATTTATTTTAATATAGAGGCAAATCCCTTTAAGTGACGTAACATAATAGTATTATATGTTATCAGATATTTTTTTGAGAAAATTATAATAATAAATAAATATTATTATTATTCAAAATGGCTCTTAGTGGTTCTTTGCCTCAAATTAATCTTGGTGTTCAAGGTGAGACCCAGGGGGGTCTCCACAACAGATCCACAGCTGGTCAAACAATTAACTACTGCATAAACCCATTGCATATAATGAACTTCTGGCATCTGTCGGAAACTTGAGTAACAGTTAGGAGTTTACCTCTGTGATGGTTCAGAGAATATACCCTCTAGCATCAATTTCTGAGGCATTCAAATAAGTGGTATGTTTTATGTACCACAACGCAATAAACGAATAAGAATTGAAAGTACAACATATGTACCACCAAGCATGAAAGAGTTAAGCCAAACTCATCCTCATATAATTCTCTAATAACATCATGACACATAAATATTCAGGAATTCATTCAAAGCGCATTACGTTTATACTTATTTTATCACAGATAAAAATTCGTTTAAGGTCAAACTTCTTGACAATGTATAAATCGGACTAAAGAATACTCATTAGATACTGCATTAATTTTAAAAGCTTCTGTGATGTAAAATTGTAGTTTGTTTTGACTCTTCTGAGATCATTAACTTCTGTTTCAAAGAATTCTATTCAGAGTAACACGTTTCATGATTAATTAATAGATGAAAAGAAATGTATATAAGAGAACTCAAAATTTGTATGAAGATGCATTTTTGATATTTGACTTGATACCTTTTTGTAAATATTTTTATTAGGGTGGATCGAAATTGTTTTCCAAAACATAGGAACTTACCTGCATTGAAAAGATGTTCTCTGCAATATAGACGAAGGGAAAAATAAAATTAATCCTTTTTTCTTAAGTATCGCCTCAAATAGAATGGAATTTAGGTGTTTGAGCTTTTTAATGGTAAAAAGTCGAAGTATTTTTAATTCCTATTATTAGTTCACTCTCTTTCCGTATATACACTCAGGAACATTGAAAATAGCGACCCAAGAAGGAAGCTAAGTACACAATCGTGAAACTTTGCAAATAAGTACAGCGTAATGTGATATGCAAATGATCCATGTTTTGTGCCAATACGCATGCTCATACACGCCGAGGTGGCGCTACAATCAGGAAGAGGGTGCTACATAAGCCAGCGCAAATTCGAAGATTCATAAACGTGACGATTACCCGCCGAATGTAGGAAGACTTTGCTAAGCGAAACATGCCAGGTAAACGTGATAGAAGACATTTCTCCCAGTTAAGCGAGTTTGAAAGAGGCCTGATCATCGGGATGAAAACTGCAGGCTGGTCGACGCGCCGTGTTGCTGGCCAGGTGGATCGTTCGGAGTGTACCGTTAGAAATTGTTGGAGCAGTGGACACGAGAATGTACCCACGTAAGGAAAACCGGGTCTGGAGCGAACAGGAAGACCACGAGGAGAGAGGATGGAAGGATCGTGGGGTAAGCACTTGTGGACCCCACTGTGACTCGTTCGACGATACGAGCAGACGTAGGCGTAGCAATTGTTCCACAAACAATTTCCAGACACCTTGCAAAAGCAAATCTTAAATCCAAGCGCCCTTTCCGTGCACTCCCTTTAACACCGGAACATCGGTAACTGCGTCTACAGTGGTGCCAAGCCAGATCAATGTGGAATGTCACAGATTGGCAAAAGGTTGTGTTTAGTGATGAATCCCGGTTTGTTTTGGGGACAGATGATAACCGTGTACGGGAGTGGAGGCGCCCTGGTAAGCGGTACAATTCCCCCCTTCACACTGTTCTACGTCACACTGCCCGCACAGCTAGTGTAATGGTCTGGGGGGCCATAGCCTATGATAGCCGGTCCACTTTAATTGTGATGCGTGGAACCTTAACGGGCCAACGTTACGTTGATGATATTCTTCGACCCCATGTAGGACCTTTCCTAAATGGTCTCCCAGGGGCAATTTTCCAGCAAGATAATGCTCGTCCGCATACAGCAAGAGTTGCTCAAGACTTCCTACGTCATTTTCAGACTCTTCCATGGCCGGCCCGCTCCCCCGATTTGTCCCCTGTAGAGCACGTGTGGGATCAGCTAAAACGGCAGATGCCATCGTGTCATTGTGTACATGATTTAGAGTTGGCTGTTCAAGATTTGTGGGCCCATCTGCCTCAGGACAACATAAGGTGTCTAATCAACTCAATGCCGTACCGTGTGGCGGCATGTATTGCAGCTGGAGGTGGTCCAACGCGCCATTGAAGTTGCCCAGTATTTGTGTCGTTGCACACCCTGTATTCGTTTAATTGTCTTGTTTTTGAGGTCAAGTGAATCTCTCATCTGTGTCATTATGTGTTTTAAATTTCATTTTAATCCGATGCTTTCTTCTTGGGTCGCTTTTTCAATGTTCCTGAGTGTATATTTATTTATATATACCGTAAAATCCGGCGTATAACACGCACTTTGAACACAAAAAAATAAGATCGAAACTTAAGGGTGCGCGATATACGCCGGGTATAAAAACGATAGTTTTAAAAATTACAAAAGAGAAGAGCAGAAAAATAAATTTACTTCTACATGTATCTAAGAACTGTTTATTTAAAAGAAATGACTTGCCTTACAAACTAAAAAGGTTGTAGTTCTAGAAGTATACTATTTTTTCAAAAGTCTGGGATAATACCTCGAATAAATG